TAAAAACAACTCTACTAGTAAGACACAGGTGCTATATATATATATTTTTAATCCTTACCCGAAGATATTTTTCTATTGCTTTTTAAAGAGAGTAGAAGAGAGGGAAAGACAGAGAGAAATATTGATGTGAGAGAAACACATCGATTGGTTGACTACTGCATGAGCCCAGGCCAGGGCCTGGGCGGGGAGGAGCCTGAAACCAATCGATTGGTTGCTTCCACACGCCCTGACCAGGGCCGGCAGCCTGCACCTGAGGTACATGCCCTTGACTGGAATTGAGTCCAGGACCCTTCAGTTCACAGGCCAACGCTCTATCCACTGAGCCAAACTGGCTAGGGGTCTCATTATTTTTTAAAAGTTTTGTCATAATAATAATGCCAACATTATTTTAACAGCAAGAAACTTATTTATAGAATGTCTATAACATGCTAAATAATTTATATATATAGTTTTTGAAATCTTACAACCACCCTATGGCTTACATACTATTATCACCCCTATTTTACAGATATGAAAACAGGGCTTAGAGAAGTTCAGATAGAGCCTTATGTCATCCAATTAATAGGCACAGGTAGAGCTACACACGGGTCTTTCTAGCCTATGATGCCAGTGCTCTTGTAGGTCAAGGCTGAAAGTTTATTCTGTGCCAGGCATTATTTTAAGCATATTACATACTTCCTCAATGATTAAAGCTCTTATTATTATTCCAAATTTACAAATGAGGACACTGAGGCTCAGAGAAATTAAAGAACTTTCCAAGGACACAGATGAGCCAGGATTTGAACACAAGAAGTTTAGTTCCTACAGCCACTATGGAAAACAATATGGTGGTTCCTTAAAAACTGAAAACTAGAACTATCATATGATGCAGCAATTCCACTTCTGGGTAATTATCTGAAGAAAACAAAAACACGAACTTGAGCCCTGGCCGGTTTAGCTCAGTGAATAGAGCATCAGCCTGCAGACCGAAGGGTCTCAGGTTCAATTCCAGTCAAGGGCACATGCCTGGGTTGCGGGCTCAGTCCAACATGCAGGAGGCAGCCAATCAATGATTCCCTCTCATCACTGATGTTTCTCTCTCTCCCTTCCTCTCTGAAATCAATAAAAAATTTTAAAAACCCCACAAAAACACACACACACACACAAACTCAAAAAGATATGCGTCGCTATGTCCACTGCAGCATTATTTGTAACTAGAGGCCCGGTGCACAAAATTTGTGCATGGGGGGCGGGTTGTACTTCAGCCCAGCCTGTGCCCTCTTGCAGTCCAGGAGCCCTCGGGGGATGTCTGACTGCCATGGAGGTGGGAGAGGCTCCCACCACTGCCACTTGCTTGCCAGATGTGTTGTACAGCATAGTGACTATTCTATACAATAAATGCCTAATATGCTAAGTGTCCGGTTGTCCATTCAACCAATCAAAGCATAATATGCTAATGATATGCTAAGGCTGCTCAACCACTTGCTATGACATGCACTGACCACTAGGGAGCAGACAGTCGATGTGTCGACCAGTCGCTATGATGTGCACTGACTACCAGGGGGCAGACACTCCGACCAGTAGGTTAGCTTGCTGCTGGGATCCAGCCGATCAGGACCGAGCAAGCCGGGCTGGACACGCCCTGGAGCCCTTCCGCAGTCCTTCCCTGGCCCTGATCATGCACTGGTGGGGTCCCTCGGCCTGGCCTGCACCCTTTCGCAATCTGGGACCCCTTGGGGGATGTCAGAGAGCAGGTTTTTGCTCGATCCCACAGGCTAGGCTGAGGAACCCCACTGGTGCACAAATTTGTGCACCAGGCCTCTAGTAGTTAATAATATGGTATTGCCTATTTGAAAGTTGCTAAGTGAGTAGATCTTAAAAGTTCTCACCATAAGAAAAAACAATTTTGTAACTATGTGTGGTGACAGGTCTTAACTAGACCTACTGTGGTGATCACTTTGCAATATATACAAATATCCCATCAGGATACTGTATACCTGAAACTAATATAATGTCACATGCCAATTATACCTCAATAAAAATGATAATAACAACAACAAAGAAGTCTGGCTCTAATTGCATGGTCTGAACCATCAGAAAAGCTCCCTAGTCCACGAGGGATGGAGACAGAGATGCTGGGTGACCATTTGAGAATAAAATTACTTAGCGCCTCCTGCTGCTGCAGGAGTGTCTGAGGTGGAGAGGCTCTCTAGCTGGGCATGGCCATGGAGTCTGTTTCTTCTTTCCCTTCCTGTGTTTCCAGCTCAAACCTGCAGTCCCAGGGCCTGGCCACGGTGCTCACAGCACATAAGTCAGGCGCATGTGGGGACGCCAGGGCCCTGAACAGGCTCTGGTGTACAGCTGCCTGTGGATTACATTCTTTCACACACACATCATCACAGACTGGAGCCTCCTTCTGCGGCCTGAGTGAAGTGAGCCCAGCAGTGAGACGGGGCAGGGCAGCGTCTCTTCTGGCAATGGTAACTGCCTTGAAGGCCCAACCCCCCATATGCCATGCTGGTCAGCAGGCTGGGCTTGTGTGTGAAGTTGGGATCCTGGAAAAAATGAGAATAGCTTACACAACCAGTGTGCTTTCTGGGATATATACAATTTTCTACACACACACCAGCTGGAGTGGCATTGGGGAAAGAATGGCCCTGGGAGGCAGGGCTGACACAGAAGCCTGATGCTCATACACAGGGAGAAAACAAACTTCTCTCTTGTTCTGAGTTCAACTCTAATTTTGCAATCAATATCCTGAGCATTACCCTAGGCCAGTGATGGCGAACCTATGACACGCGTGTCAGAGATGACACGCGAACTCATCTTTTTGGTTGATTTTTCTTTGTTAAATGGCATTTAAATATATAAAATAAATATCAAAAATATAAATCTTTGTTTTACTATGGCTGCAAATATCAAAAAATTTCTATACGTGACACGGCACCAGAGTTAAGTTAGGGTTTTTCAAAATGCTGACACGCCGAGCTCAAAAGGTTCGCCATCACTGCTGTAGGCTCTTCTGTTGTTTACACTTGAATTCCCATAATTCCCTCACACTGCTATTGGCATGGATGGGCAACAATGCTGCCTCCTCAAACTGAAAGGTCTAAAGTTACTACCAAAAAGTAGGCTTCCTGGTGGGAAGGGGGTAATCGGGAAATAGCTCCAGAAGCCCTTGGTGTCACTGATGGTAAGAATCTGTGGAGTTAGAGGATTCTGTTTCTTCTGTTCTCTTGCAGTGCATACGTGTATCAGACTGTTCGGAAGGATCTGGGAGATGGCTGGGCAAATGCAAAGCTGTGGCTGCTGGGACTGAAAATCACACAGAGGGCTCGCCCTCCTAAGCTCGCCACCTACCTTTTGGAGTGGGAAGGAAGGCAGCGGCTGCCCTGGAGGGACAGAAGCCAAGGTGGTCTGTCACAAAGTGGGGGCAGGCAGGAACTGGCACTCAGGTGATCCTCTTCTAAACCAACGCAAGCTCCTTGAGCAGCAGCAACTATAACTTACTCACGACGACATTATTTCCAGCGACTACATTATTTACAGCTCCCAGCACAAAACTGGCACTCAAGAAATGTTTCATGGAGTACTGACACACGCTACAACATGGAAGAACCCCAGAAACATGCTCAGTGAAAGAAATCAGTCACTAAGGACCATATGATATATGAGTTCATTTATTTTAAATGTCCAGAATAGGCAAATTTATAGAGACAGAAAGTAGATCCGTGGTTGCCTCCGGCTGGGGAGGAGCAGGGGCTTGGGGAGAATGCGGAAAGGTGCAGGATTTCTTTTTGGAACAATTAAAATGTTTCCAAACAGCCCGTGGTGATAAATGTGAACATATTTTGTGAATACACTAAAAGCCATTGAATTTAATACTTTAAATGGGTGAATTACATGGTATCCCAAAACACTGTTAAAAAAGAAATATTTGATGAATATATCAATGAGTGAACAAATGAATATAGGATATAGTTTTTGACCTTGTCCTTGGAGTTCCTTAGAACCATGGGCTGTAGGAACTATGTAAACTGCCAGACAAGGAATCTTCATTCCTATGTTCATTCACTCAGGAGCCACCTGTGGAGTGTCTAGAACAGCGGTTCTCAACCTGTGGGTCGCGACCCCTTTGGCGGTCGAACAATAGTACCATCCAAGATCACTGGTCACAGATCACCATAACAAATGTAATGATAATGAAAAAGTTTGAAATACTGTGAGAATTACCAAAACGTGACAGAGATACAATGTGAACAAATGTTGGAAAAATGGTGCCAATAGCCTTGCTCAACCAGGTAGCCATAAACCTTCAATCTGTAAAAAACACAGTATTTGCAGAGAGCAATAAAATGAGGTGTATCTGGACAGAGTATTTTCCTAAAAATTCCATTATGACTCCTTTCAGAAAACAAGATTTTTTGCTATACTTCCATTTGCTACCTTAGCTCAGGTTTTATGTTATAAGTTAACTGAGTGCATAGTCCAACTACCTCATTTGTTTAAAAAATGTGTATGACTGAAACCAAACACAGAAATTAGGAGGTTCTAACTATTCTGGAATAATCTTGAAAACCTTTTTTTTTTTTTTTTTTTAGCATAAATAATACAATTCATCCTTCCCTTTAGTGAGCTTTATCCAGTCTCCAAGCTCATCCCCTTACCTCACAAACTGCTGCCACTCTTACCTGTGTGTGAGTGTGTGTGTGTGTGTGTGTGTGTGTGTGTGTGTATGAGTGTGTATGAGTGTGTTTGCCTCTTCATCTCACCACGCTCCAACTCTATCTGCAGACCCAAAGGCTCCCCACAGAAACCACAAAGGATCATTTGGCTTCCGTTTGGAAACACAGAAAGTAAGTATTATGTTTTTGGTCAATTCCCAAATAAACCTCTCTCCAAACGCCAGTTTCTTTCCTGATGGTTTGTTTGTTTGTTTGTTTGTTTGTATACATTTCAGGTTTCTCTAAGAAGCTCTGCCCCCGAGGGCTGAGTTGGCTTCAGGAGCCCAGAAGACATACCTGGCTGCTTTCTGAGTAAGCTCCAACGGGAAATCGGGGCACAGTAACTGCAGCAAACAGTGATACTCCTTCATGGTCAGCAGATCTGAAGTGGAAATGGAGAGAAATACATTAGGTCTCTGTATGTGAACTTGCTGCTTTCTTTTCGGTCATTTCATAGATTTCAGACCTAGTTTCAGAAGAGCTGCCTTTTTATTTTTTCCTAATCCTCATCCGAATATATTTCCCATTGGTTTTTAGAGAAAGTGGAGGGGGACGGGAGAGAGAGAGAGGGAGAGAGAGAGAGAGAGAGAGAGAGAGAGAGAGAGAGGTGAGAAAGACACATTGATTAGTTGCTTCCAGCACACAATCCGACCAGGGCTGGGGATGAAACCTGCAACCTTGGTATGTGCCCTTGACTGGGAATCAAACCCATGATCCTTCAGTGTGTGGGCCAATGCTCTAACCACTGAGCATACTGGCCAGGGCAGTAGAGCTGCTCTTTTTAAAAGTAAGAGTTAAGGGTGTGCTAGCCACTGACCTCCAGGGGTGAGATTTTAAGGTCCATGTTTATACAAAGTGTTTCCTGGGTGGGAGGCACCCAGCTATAACCCAGCTATTTTAGCCAAAGGAGCTTCACTGGTTTGAAAAATGGAATGGAAAAGAAGGAACAAGAGGGATACTTTTATCAGCCTTCTTAGTTTGGCTTTCCTTGTGTATAACAATTTGCAAAAATGAGTCATTTAAAAGCTGGTTAAATCTGCCGAAATTCTCTGGCATGGTAACATTCACTACAACGTGCCTAACGACCATCGACAGAACATCTGGAAGCAGGACTAAGGCACACTCAGTCTTACAATGTACGGAGGAGAAGAGTACAGTATAGCAACCCGCAGACCTTATTACTCTGTCATCCAGTATTACACAGACTGGCTTCTTTTTGATGTCTGCACACAAGTCTGGTCATATTATAGTAAGCCAAGTTAGCTGTCCAAGGTATACAGTCAAGGCAAACAAATGATTCCTGATATACAGAAGCAGTGCGGTGGGAGAGATGAGCCAGTCTTCGGTGGCACAGCAGGAGACCCACAGAGGTAAACCTCAGGGAGGTACATAGGACCCCAAGGGAGAGGAAAGACCCTGATGCTTAAAGGTTGTTTTGGTACTGTGTGTACTGATCCAAAAGGTTCTAGGTCAGCCAGGCAGCAGCAATCCACAAGTGTTCCTCAAGCTAAAGCATTTCAAATATGGAAAGACATGCTGATGGTAAAGCAAGAGTAAGCAACCTGGAAGCCATCCTAACTGGGAGCATGAGTGAGAGAAGGGAATCCAAAGGGCACGGCCACATTTGGGGAATGAAGATGATCATAGGCACTTGGTTTCTTTGGACCTAAGTTAGCCCAAGCCACAGGAATTCAGCTCTCCTGCCCCTGCTAGTTCGGTTGATGCTTTTCCAAGACAAAAACCCCAAATCCCCAGGGACAGGCCTGAGTTCTTACTACTTTTTCATTAAAGCTCAATTCAAAACGGGGGCACAGAGTTAACCAAACCACACTGCCAAAGTCAGGGACACCAAGGAACAGAATCAGCGTCAATGTAGGTCAAAGGATCAAGATGGCTTTTGTGGCTTTCGTCTTGGCCACAATAGGGTGTGTACTTTCCTCTCCTCACTTGCCTGACCTCGGGCACAGCCTGAGAGGGGGTTTTGTCAAGGGAAGGAGTAATAGCCACTCATGATCTCGTAGATTTGGGGTGAGGGACAGGAAAGGCAAAGGGAAGGGAGAAAAGCCACTGAATCTAATGTGCTCCCACTTTAATCTCACTCCAGAACTCCCTATATATGGTATAGAGAGAAGTATGAGGGCAGGAAGTAAATAAAAGAGAGTTCTATCTTTGAATTATCAGTGTTTTTCTAGAGTAAACTTTGGTAGATATACCTGATACCATTCTTGGAGGTGGGGGTAAAAGTGTCTCACACAGAAATTCACATTTATCCCCATAATTACCTACAAAATATCCTTGGGAAGATAAACAGGGTGAAGGGAAATGAGAGATGAGAGATGAGAGAGAGAGAGAGAGGGAGAGAGAGAGAGAGAGAGAGAGAGAGAGAGAGAGAGAGAGAGAGAGAGAAAGAAAATGCTGGAGATTGATGTCAGCCTCCTGGTTTCCAATACTTGCTTCCCAAAGTCAGAAAACTGATGTATAAAAACAACTTTGCACTTCTCTAATGTACTGTCTTGCGGGAGTACTACACACGTCAGAAAATCAGAATACATCTTGTCAGTCACTTCTGGCACTTGACTTTCCCAAATGTGAAGTAAGGAAGATAATCAGATAAAGAGATAAATGAAACTCAGGCAAACAAACAGCTTTCACCACTTTAATTGTGGGAGGCTCTATGTCTATCAAGTGGTGGTTAAATAATGTCAAGTTTAGATGTCTTCCATGGAGAGGCATCTGTCACTTGGAGACACTCCTGGGTTGTATGGTGGGTATTTGGGAGAATGGTAAGTGGAAAATAGTGAATGGTATTTGTTCCAAAATCAGAACATTGATGAACAAATGGGAGCTGTCCCCTTCCCATCCCAGAGGCTAGGGTCAAATCTTAGCTTTGCAATGTACCAGGTATGCAACCTTGGGGAAATTGCTCAACCTCTCTAAATATTAGTTTCCCACCTGTAAAATGAAAATGATGATACCTACCTTTCAGGGCTGACGTCAAGATGAAAAAAGATGTCTACAAAGTGCTTAGCAGGATGTCTAGAACATAGTAACTCCAAACAATCAGAGTTATTTTGGTTTTGTTCTTAAATCCTGAAGGCAAAGACAGGAGAGGAGAGGAGGAAGATGTTTCTTGCCAAGTTTAAATGCTTAAACACCTAGGAGTGTTTTGCCTTGAAAATTCTGTCAGGTTGCCTGAGCCAAACCTGTTTTAGAACATTCACTAATTTGATATTAGCATGTGCCTCCTGGGGTCCAGGCACTACGTTACAGAAATGAGCAAGCGAGCAGTCTCCCTAGTTCCCAAGGCTCACACTCAGGCATTAGTTAATCCTAAATGCCCCTGTCTACTTTCGGCCCCCAGCTCTTAGAACTCTCCAAGATCTCAAAGGCTTTTCCAGGCAGCCCTTTGTGCTATAGGATTAACAGTAATGAGACTGAATAGTCACTGAGGTCTTTGCTCAGGCCTTGAATTAGCTCACTTAACCTTCACAACAACCTCATGAAGTAGACTCCATTATTCTCAGTCCCATTTCACAGATATGTTCATGGAGGCGTAGAGAGATGAAATACTCCGATGAGTGGGGAGAGAGAAGAGTCCAGAGCCTGGGGAACAGAGAGGGGAACTAGCTTTCCAGAGAAAGAGTCCAGGCTGGGAGGGAAAGGATGACTAAGGGCTGGATGGGCTTAATATTGATAATACTAACAGCTCATATTCATTGGGCACTTGCTGAGGGCGAGGCACTGTCCTGCCAAGGGTTTTACATGCCTTAGCTCATCTAATCTTCACTATTGTTATCCCCATTGCACAGACACAAACTCAGACGGTGCATGCTTAAGAGGCAGAACTGGAATTCAAACGCAGGCGGCTGGCTCCAAAGTTTACCCAACATACATTTTCAGGGCCTTGATCTTATCAACCACTAATGTGTGAAGGCTCAGGAGCTTGCTTTCCCCTACAAACAAACTGCAGAAACTAAATAGCTTCAGGTGAATTGGATCAAGGAGACAAGTCAAGCGAATTGGGATTTTTCCCATGTAAGAAATTGAGTCTGAAAGGTTCTAATTACTGTCAACAGGAAAGACTGCGGCTCCAGTACAGCAGCTTGTGCTGGGCCGGAGGCCACGGGAGGGTGGGGAAGAGTACACCTGTGCTGGTGGCCACTCCGCCATTTCTCATCCCAGCCTCTGCACCCGGCAGGTGCAGGGAAGGTAGGTGGTGTGTACCAACAGATGCATGCTCTAAAGGAATCCCCACAATTAGGAAAGCTTCAGCCAGCAAGCCCTGAAAGTTCAAAGGCAAAGACATAAGAAGTCTTGGTATAAGATCAAGATCAGAACACTCTCCACAAATTGGTGCTTCTCTTTTTTGTGGGTGGTCAGAGCTGTTAAACTTTCTTCCTCTAAACCTTATAATCGTCCTATCAACTCTGTGCCTGGCTCTAGACCAGAGGGTTTTACACCATGATCTATCATCTCTAGAGGCAGCACAGCGTAGTATTGTGGCTAAGAGCATGGACTTCAAAGTTAGACTGTCTGGGTCCCAATCTGAGCTTTGCCACTGATTTCAAATGACTTGATCTTTAAGCTCTTGACGCCTCAGTTTTCCCATCTATAAAATGGAGATAATGATAGTATCAACATCACACAGTTGCTGTGAGTTAATGTAAAGTACTTACATTACATGAATGGCCTGTCATACATCCTCTGCTATAGTATTTGCTATTATTTTAGAAATAAAGAAACTAGGGTTTCCTTAACTCAAGTTAATTACTTTCTCAAGGAAACAGCTAGTGAGTGGAGGAAGGACTGAGATTCAGACCTAAGCCTGCCTAGCTGCAAAGGTCTTGAGAATTCTCCTTTAGGAGGTGGGATCTGGCTGGGGTCAGGCCAGTGACTGATAGACTTTATATCAAAGTAAGACAGAGAGATGCCTTCCAGGTGGCCCCATTAAACATGGCAGAGTAGTTGCGCAGGGTAGTAGTACAAGTGCAGAGCCCAGACTTTGCAGCCAGACGACCTCGCTCCACTACTTACCACTGGTATGACTTGGACAAGTTATACAACTTCTCTAAACCTTGGTTTCCCCATCTTACAAATGTGAATAACCACAGTATCTACCCAACAGGATTGTTGTAAAAATCAAAGGAGGTCATTTATATATGACACTTTCCTGGAAAATTAGCAAAGTGTTCAATAAATGGTAATAGTATTTTATAATTATTAACCAATTAATAGTTGAAGTCCTGAAATTGAGAAATATTTGGACTTAACTAAAGCCCTTAGCACAATGCCTGGCACATCATAGTAAATATCTGTTGAAGGAATGAGTGAATGAAAACATGCTTTGTAGTCTTGCCGGTGTGGCTCAGTGGTTGAGCATCA